TTAAAATCCCTAAGTCAACAAATTTTCTATTTCTTTTTAAAAAAGCGCTTAATTGATCACTTAAATTTTTTTTAGTCAAGTACTTAATCTACACAACATCTGTTAGTAAAAAATGAATTTAAAAAAAAAAAAATTATGTCGACTTATGGTGTAAAAAATAATCGCTGTCGACTTTGAGTAGATCCAGGCTTATATATTTAAAGCAGTGTAATACTTACAATAAAAATCTTGTGTAAAGATTTTTGTAAAAAACAAAGAATGACTGCAAAAAAAAATAAAATTTTGATGATATATGTTGGGAAAAAATAGTAAACCTGTACCAGTTATGTGCAGACAAATATTCCATAGCGAGTCAGGAGTTTACAAGTCTGTAACATCTGATGAATGACTAGATATAATATTTATAAATGAATTTGTAGATATGATAGTAAAAAAGACAAACAAGTATGCAGATCAATGCAATATGGGTAAAGTGCACTCTAAAACTTTTTTTAAAGTTTTAAAGACACAACATCTTGCAATATTCAAACATATTTAGCTGTACTATTATACTGTAGCTTATTATACCAACCAAGACATGGCTGGTATTAGTCTAAGATTTACTAATCACAGCTCTTGGATTTAGACACCTAATTTTTTACAAAATAAACTTTTACTAATTAAAAAATTTCCAAACTGTTTATTCTTAATGAGTAGATGCATTAGAAATAAATAGTCGCAATGAAGACTATTATGCATCTAAAATAATCTTTTATTTTCTTTGTGGTTTGTTAGATCATTATATTTATATAGATAATTGGTACACCTCAATAGAAATTTGCGAAATCCTCAAGCAGCATTCTACTGATGTAATCGGTACAATTTGCCATGACTGTAAAAAGTTAACCATTATCAGTAAGAGTAAGAATATGCAGGTCTGCTATGTTGTTAGACATTAAAAAAAAATTAAATTTAAGTTTTTCAATTGGATTGTTAAAAAAAATTATAACTATATATAAATTTTTTTAAATATATATATAACTAAAATATTATATATATTAAAAAAAAAATTTAATATATATAATATTTTACTATATGTAACTATTACAGCAAAAACTAAACAAATGCGGTTAATTATCTTCTTTTTTTGTTGTTATTCACCTCCTCAATGCCAAGAAGGCCACTACAGATAATTATTACTTAATAATGGTTATAACCCTCTCTCAACTCTATAACTCCGAAACATGAACCTTGACAAACAAGGCCGCTGCGCAGAGAAACAAGTTGAGCGTACCACGCTCAACTTGTTTCTCTGCGCAGGGACATGGAAATGGTTAAAAAAAGTTTAAAACCAGAAAACGTGATAATCTGGTTTCATAATTTTGCCATTATTTCAAAATGTTGCTTAATTCACAAGTTTATATTGCGCTTTGGAGAAAAAGTTAGCCCTAAGGAGAAAAAAATCGTTTCCTTTGAAGTTGAAGTCAACCAAATATTATATTGTGTAAAATTTTTGATATCATATCCTTTGGATACTTTTATATGCATATATATTTTTGATATCGCTATGGATACAAGAAATTAAGACAGAGAGTTATTACAAGGAGAAGCTGTTTATAATAGCATGAATAAAAACTATATTTATAATTGCATCAATAAAAACTAGTCTTTGTTACATTGTTTTCTTGGATAATCAATAATTTTTGGAAAAAAATTACAATGTCTATATCCAGATTTTGGATAATTCTTTGTATAAATTTTTATTTAGCCAAATTGTTTATCCTTAATGAGAAATATGAGAATTATTATCTTTGTTTTCAAAAAGCCTTATTTCTTAAGTTATGAAAGAATTTTTAATGGTTTTTTTGTGCTTTTTTACACTATCATTACATTTTTTTATTACTTAAAATTCCAATATAAACATAAAGGAAAAGGTTCATTTAGTGTTTTAATAAAAGCTATTATTTGTATATTATGAATTGTGAAATCATGGCATGGATACTTTACAAAAGTTTTTTCTTGCTGTGCTTTTTTATCTCAAAGAATGTCTTTAAGTATCAGGGGAACATTTAACTGTGCAATCTCTGCCACTGCCTCTTCTACTTAAGTTAATAACAAGTTTTGTTTTTATTGTTGCACTGTGTTTAACAAGACATGTTTTTAATATAACTTTTTTAATTAAACAATTGTGCAAGCAAGTAATAATGATGGTTTTTATAGTTTAAATTTTATTCAAGCATTAAAAGATTTTGCCTTTGTTTCTTAGAAATATAATTAGTCAGCACCTTCAAATATGCTTTGAACAAGCCTAAAAATGGCATTTCAAATTATTTTAAATTGGTTATCACTGTTCCTTTGCTAGACTATCTGAGTTTAACACGATGTTTAATGATACAACTTTTAAAATGTTATAAAACACCTGTCTTTTAGTTTTATTTATCTAAAGCCTTTTTTATTTATTATTGTCAAACCAAAAGCTTTATTACATGAATTTGACCTGTGGGAAATATAGTTGAATTTTATTTAACTGTCTGAATTTCAAAAATGAACTCCAATCTCATACTGAAAGCTTTGCAATCAACAAACCTTAACTTTACTAAGACGCCTAAAAGGTTATAAATAAAAGGTAAGAAAAAGTTGCAAAGCCAAATAGTAGATCAAGTCTAAATAGTTTAGTTTAGCTTTTCACACAGAGTTATCTATACTACAGACCACTATGAATAGGCTATAAAATAGTAAACAAGTTTTCAACAAGTTTGTTATAAATACTTATAAATTGTGTTTTAAATAAAATTTAACTATAATGAAAGTATTATTTTAAAAAATGTCTTTGCTGCCTTTTGTTAATCAGCTATTTTCATAGCTAGACGTCTTTATAAGAACATTATTTAGCATTGTAGTTATTACAATAAGTTTTTTGATCTTATTATATCAGAACTTACAAGTATCTTATAATTCTTGTAGGTTCTGACGTTGGACATGTGTCATACAAATTAAGTGACAAGGGTTAAAATGTAAGTTTGTAAATAATATGTAAAAAAAGTTTATTTTTAAATATGCAATTATTTTTAAACAAGGTTTAAACAAAATTTAAAAAAGTTTTGTTTTGAAAAGGTTTAAATAAAAACATTTATTAAATATGCCCAGCAAAAATCACTAGAGAGGTCTTAAATTTACAATATGTTTTATATATCTAATAACACATGTATGTTAATATATATGTTATTAGAGTTTTTAGTTTTATTTTGAAATAACAACTCTATTTGAAATAAATTTATATTTGCACTAGAGAGTTATAAGCATTTATTTGGCGGTTATTTGATTTATAAGAAAATGTTTAAAAATGATTTAATAATGTTTAAAAAAAATATTAAATAAAATTTAAATAAGTTGCAATTTTTTAAAATTAAAAATACGTTATCACCACAAATTTACATTAGACTGATGCAATTTCTAGTTGTTTCATTTTTGATATTTCATTGTTTTGTACGCTTTTTATTTCTAGTTTTATCAGATGGTTTTTTAAATAAATTAAGATATTGAAGTTTAAATTATAATTATTAATAATGATACCAAAAATAACACAAATATTTTTTTTATTGAATAATAACTACTGAGTTTTGTGATAAAAACAGTATTTACTGTTTTTAAAAACTTATATTTATTGTATTTACTGTTTTAAAAAATTTAAAGACCAGATATTGCAATTAGCAATCACTTTTGCTAATCAAATTCGTGCCTTGTAAGATATTGCTTGGTACAGTAAAATGATAAAACTTTACTAGGTGTTAATTTTTAAATTTATTATATTCATGGTTTTCATGGTTAGTTTCAATGACAGTACAGTATTAAACTATTTTTAAAGTTGATTTGGTTTAAAGTTGCTAGCAAATATGAGCCTCAAACCAAAGCTATTCTTTTTTATGAAATCTGGAATATATGGTTTATCAGGATTTTAAGTTACTAACCTTCCTTATGAACCATATAAATCAGATTTTGTTAGTGTTCTACAAAGTAAAACAAAAAACAAAAACAAAATACAGCAGATAGAAGTGTTTGGTTAGTGTTGGGACACCTTTTGTGGTGCAAGGTACATTATTCAAAGCATCTTATATAGCATTTGAATAAATAAATATCTAAAGCTAAAACTAAATATTTATTTAAGCTAAAAATAAATATATATCTATAATATCTAAAAAATAAATATTTAAATAAATATCTAAACTACCTCTCTGTGTGTAAACAATAAAAGTAAGATTTTTTGGAAGGTCATTAATATAAGAAATTTTCCCAGACAAGAATTGAAGAAAGCTTTCAGATAAGATAAAGTTTTCAGATAAGTTCAAGGGTCAAGGATGGAATGTGTTCAAAACTGTAAACAAAAAATGTCTTACTGACATTATTGATTATTAATTTATACTTGAAATATTTTATATTCATAAAAATCAAATAATAGTTAATAGTGATAATATTTTATTAACTAAACAATTTTAAAATTAATTTTATTAACTAAACAATTTTAATTAAAATTACAAAATAAATGAATTAGTAGAATTTAAAAAAAAGATTCAAATAATAATAATAATAATAAATGAATGAATAAGAATTAATAGTAATAATAAATTAAAATAAAATTAAAAGACATTTAACGTTAAAGTTATTTAAAGAAAACGTCATATAAAAAGTTAGTATATATATATATATATATATATATATATATATATATATATATATATATATATATATATATATATAAGGAGCCCACCTGCAAAAGTTACAAAAATAAAAATTTTGAGTCAATTTTATTTCAACATTCTAAAAACTGAAATCTATAGTCCAATTAAATATTAAACCAAATTGAAAGTTTTTTTTCCTAAATATAGACAAAAAAAATATCAATTTCTGTTGATGCGCAATTATGAGTAGTTTAGACTTTCATCTTTTTCTTAAAAAGATACATAATGATATTTCTATTTAAGAAACAAAAGTTAACATATTTATACATTTATTATTATATTTAGTCCATATCGGATTGTTGATGATTGTGGTGGAGCATTTGCTATGGGTGCAATTGGTGGTGGATTGTTTTCATTTGTAAAAGGCTGGAGAAATTCACCTGTTGTAAGATTTTCTACAGTGTTAAAAATGTTCATTTTTGTAATAGTATGTTGTAATTAATATTAAAACATTTTAATAACTATGCATTCCTGTGGACTGGAGAGTAGAAATTTAATTATTTAGCATTCATGTATATATGCTATCTTACACCCCTCAAAATCAAGTTTGGCAAAAAATGCTGACATACAAGTTGAATTACTTTAGTTTACTATGTTATAAGCACAGTTTACAATGGTGTAAGCACTTGGCAGAGACCTGGCAGAATCTCTAAAAGTAAATTTATATCAATTTAAAGTTTATTGTATATGTTTATAGAATATTTATGTAATATAAATATATATATATATATATATATATATATATATATATATATATATATATATATATATATATATATATATATATATATATATATATATATATATATATATATATATATAATATCTTTGCATACTTAGCCAAAAATGTTTTGATTTCATGAAAAAATAGCCATCTGCAGGAGTTTTCATACATACTCTAACTTAGGTTTTACTTTTTTCTACTTTTTTTTTTTTTAATTGAGATCTAAGAATCAAGATTTTTGTGAAATCATAATAATTTTTTAATAAACTAATCTAAACTAAAAACTAACTAAAAAATTTTCACTAATAATAATGAAAGATTTTGTGTCCGAGAAGTAACCTCAAATGCTCATCTAAATCTCAAAATATTTTTATACTTATGTAAAAAACTAATAGAACTACATTTGCATATTATTATACCATCATCTAATATACAATAGCTTAACTGAAATGTTTTTTTTTTAACTTTTTATTTTTTGCTCTGAAAGAAAATTGCTCTGCCCTAATAGAGAAGGCCAGATTTCCAAAAATTAACTGCTTTAGATATTTCAATAAATCAATAGATAGCCTCACCACCACCATCTAATATACGCTATAATCTTTTTGTTAGAGCATTTCGTTATTTTTTTAGAGTAGTAGAAGTTGAAAACTATATTGGTTGTTAAATAGTTAATGATAAAAGAATCAAAAACCATCTTAATAATAGTGAGAAGACTAGGAGATAATTGGAGGGATCAGAGTTTTTAGAAAATTGAAACTGCAGATGCTGCTTTCTAGTAGGCATCAAATCAAAATTCAGTCAAGCACTTAATAAATAGTTTAGATAATTAAAGAGAGTTCGCGAAAATACTTTTGTAAAACTATGGCATGAGCGTTATCTGGGCCACAAGCTGTAGAAGAATTTAATTGAGAAATGAATTTAGCAACGGAAGCTGGAATGATTTGGGTGTTATTAACAAGTTAATCTGTTTAACTGGATTGGCGTAAAGATGGTGACAATTAGATTCAACAGTTAAATAAGAGGAAAAATTCTTTGCAAATTATTCTGCCTTTCCTTTGAGAGAGGTAATAAGATCAAACTCATAAATTAAAGATGAATTGTTTTACTTTTAATAATGACATTGAGGATTTTTCTAAAGTCTCTAGTGTCTGAGATTTGATACAAAATTCAGTATTCTGAGATTAATGAAGTTTATCACCTTTTTAGATTAATTTCTTGCAATAATAAAAAGGTAATTGTTCTCAAGAAAGTTGTTCTTTCAAAAAAGTTTAAAAAAATGAATAGGATTAGATATTACAGCTGCACAAGAAGGTGAAAACAATGAAGTAGAATAAAGCTTGACTTGGAACTAAGAAGAAGGAACAAAAGCATCCATGCCTGTTTATATAAAGGAGGTTACATAGAAGACACATTTATCAGCAGAAAGATGAATATCATCAGCTAGAGGACCTTCGCAAAGAAAAATCACAAACAGAATCTCATTCAACTTTAGGGTAGTAGTGAGCAGGGCATTTATAGGGTAAGCCCAAAGAAGAACTATGAAATAAAACTTTTGTAGAAATCATTTTATGGTCAGAACCACCTATAGTAGAACAATAAGAAACTGAACATAAATTATGATTAAAGAAAAGAGTGATAATGAGAGACAAGTCAAGGAGAGAGTATTAGAGCAGAGCCATTCAGTGTGATGAGCATTACAGTCATCAATAACAGCACTATTAGCAGAGGGGTAAAGAGACAGGGCATGGTCAATTTGGTCAGAACTTACATCTAAAAAAAATGCAGCCTTAAGGAGAAAGGGAGTAATAAAGAACAAAGAGAAAAATGATTGACTGAAGAGGTATGAAGTGAAAGTATATTAAAAAATGGTAAAAGGATTTAAACCTGGTTTCTTGACAAATAAGTGAGTTGATGCGTAACTATATGCCCAAGCCAAGCATTCGACTATTGGAGACTTTTCAAATCAAATGATAGCAACCATCAATATTAGGATCTGACAAAAAAACATCTGAATTCAAATTAGTCTCACAAAGAGCAATTAAGTCTGGTGAATTTTGCAGTAAGATTCATTTGATGGAAAATACTTTAAAAACCACAAATATTTGTTAAAGATATATTCAAACAAGTGGTGATGCTGGTTTTTTATGTTTAATAATTCTGGGTATTTTTGGCATGCTTTGGCTCATTCATAGATATGACATCCCAAACGCAGTTGTCTCAGTCCTGCTAACACAAAGTTAACATTAAAACAAAGTTGTAAATTAGGGAACCTTATTGGGTCTTAAAAATACCCACCAAAAATCACTAACAGAGACACCATCCATGCCCAACATGGCGCTGGTAATACTCTGATATTTTACAGCTGTTGATGGAATTAATCTCTCTAAGAGCTACCACAGAGTTCTAGAAACTTTACCAGCCGGCCTCAGAACCATTAAATTGAGTTTTAGAGCTGTACTCTTATAAGGAGATAACAACAAGAGTTGCATAGCCATTTTAGATGAAGATCCAGCATTCATTATCCTAAACAAAAAACAATGTAATACAGGTTTACATCTACTCCAACCTAATAGATTTATTCAACAGAATTATTCTGCTTACCTCAAAAATCTTTCTCTAGATTGCTTTCCACAAGACTAGTTCACTAGTTGGTAACTGAACACTACACCAGAGATTCATTCAGAACACAAACATACATAGAGTAACTTATGGATGAGTGAATACTGTACCAAAGGTTCAGACAATACACAAACATGCATATATAGTAAACTATTGGTGAGCTAACACAGTAACTAAGACTTCTCCAACTATGTAACAGACAAAAATAGATACCACTATAAACATGATAAATATTAAATAGTGTTGATAAGAGGAAGTACACTTCTTTTGGCCTTTTCTTAGAAAGCAAACCCTAAAAGGCAGCAGGATATGGAACAGATTGCACTGGATTACATGTTACCAGTAGCAGGGTGACCATGATGTGATCATGTCTGACTTGACACTAAATTATACACCTGTTATTTACTGACACTAAATTATATGCCTGAACTGATTCTAAAAGATTGTTGCTACTTCAAAAAGTAATCTGATTTCATGAGTTGCAAAGTTTGGATGCCAGAAAGAAATAAAAAAAGAGGTTCAAAAATATGTATTTTTAGTGATTTCAAGAGAAAGATATATATATATTTTTTTTACTGTCCTCCCACATTTTTTACGAATTTAGTTTTTGGTAGAATTTGTCTTATCTCTTTTTTTCTTATCCATCTATTTTTTTTTTTTAGTGTTAAAATATGTTAAAATGTTACTTACACTTCTTAGGGTCACAGGTTTGTCGGTAGTATTGCCGCAGTTAAAACAAGAGCCCCGGTTTTAGGAGGTAATTTAAGATATTCTTTTTTTTATGATATTGTTTTGGTTAAACTATTTGAATATATTGGTTATTATAATTTATTAAAAAAAATAATTGTATTTAAACTTTGTATTTCTTTGTTTGTGTGTGTGTATGTGTGTGAAATTTTTATTTACTTCATACTTTTTGTAACCCTAAATTAAGTTGACAAAATTATTAGTTATAAATTAATATAAACTAATCAGCAACAATTATTTGCATGATGTAATAATGTTGATAAAGATGCAGGAATTTTAATAAAGATGGGTTATTCCATATGAAATCACTTTTTCTAGTTTTTCCACCTCAAATTTGCTTAAAATTTTGTTCACCCATAGTTTTTATACAAAAAACTCAACCCTGAAAATTTCAGCTTGATTGAGCAAACCATTCAAAAGTTATAATTGAATTAATATTGACCAAAATCATATATTTTTATGTTTTCAGGAAATTTTGCAGTATGGGGTGGAGTGTTTTCTACATTTGATTGTTCTCTTATGGCTATAAGGGGAAAGGAAGATCCTTGGAATTCAATTGGTAGCGGTGCATTAACAGGTGCTGTGCTCATGGCAAGAGGTTTGTATTTTCATGTTTTGAAAATCTTTATTTAGAATGTCTAATAGTTTTTTAAGAATATAATTTGTAAATAGCTGGACCTGGAGCTATGGTTCGTTCTGCAGCTGTTGGTGGAATTTTGTTAGCATTAATAGAAGGTGTCGGGATCATGATAACAAGAATGACTGCAGACCAATTCAAACCAGGTTAATTATAGTTTTTTTTTTTTATAGTTTATGTGCCTATAATGAACATATACAGTTGAACTTATGTAATTTGAATAGGGGAAGAGGCTGGTACAGCTTGGGAAACCCCGGAATAGTTGTAACAGGGTTGTGTATGTGTCAAGTCTGAATAAAGGGATTTTCCCTCTTTTAAAGGAAAGGAAAACAAGAAAATTTTATCTGTTTTTAATTTTATAAATGAGTTGAGTAATTAATAAAATATAATTTGTTAAAAAAAATAAAGGGGATATTTAGAAATTTAAATGACTTAAATTTCTAAATACGTCCTGAATTAACTCGAACTCCTTTGAAAGATCATTAAAATTAAACAAATTTTTTGGTCTTTTCAAGGTTTAACATTTAAGATTGAAATGTCTGAATAAAGGGATTTTAACTCTTGTAATTTGAATATATATTAGGACCCCTTGGGGATTTCAATTACATGAGTTTAACTGTATATGTTTATCATATAAAAATAATAAGCTGAAATAAATCACCTTTATACATAAGCATAGTTAACTTAATCAAACTTTTAAATCATGTACCCTCTTGTATAACTATCTAAAGAGTTTTAAAATAGCTTTGTAATTTTGAATATTGTATTGTGAGTTGTAAGTGTGAATAAATGTCATAAATATCAAAGATGTTTATTTTAGTTATGCCACAAATGCCACCTGACCCATATCAACTTCCACCTACACCAAAACCGGCTAAACAAAGTGAAACTGATTGGGCTAATACACAACCGACTTTTCAATGATTTTTGTTTAAAAGGTATTCAGTTATATACTTTTTTATTTTGTTCATGAATGCTAGTTCTTAAGTGCATAATGATCATAATTTATGCATCAATGTTTTGGGGGTTAAAAAATTATTCAAAGATTATTTGTTAACATCAACCTGCCAGAGACACTCAACCTGCCAGAGACATTCAACTTGCTTCTGATATAATAGCACTATTAAAGGCATTGTCTGCATTGTTTTCACATTTTGAATATTCAGTTGTACAAAAAAGTGGTAATCTGTTGTACAAAAAGGTAATCAGTTATACAAAAAAGAGGTAATGCAGAATCTGCAATGAAAAATAGAATTTTCAAATTACCAGGGGGTTTCTATTTTTTAGTAAGTAGTGTACTACTTTGTATTTCATTGCTGTTTTTTGTTTCCTTCTGAGTATATGGAAATTCTGACATCATCCATTAAACATGGTTATGAACAATAAAAATACATAAAATGTTAATTACAATATCAACAATTCCAATAACTGACTATGAAATTTTATAAAGTAAATTTTAGAGTTTTTGTTTGGTTGACGAAGAATGAAGTTTCCATTACGAAGTAAAAGTTATGGGGTGTTCCAAATGTAACCTTTATTTGAGATGATTTTTACATTTTATTTACTGTTTTTAGCATAAAAATAATCTTTTTAATATAATTTAAATTTAAACAAGTAATTTTGAAACAGTTTATTAGTCAATACTAAATAAGCTTATCCTCTTACTTGATTCAGTATTTTTTAAAATAAGCCTCTTCTTTTTTTTTTTGATAGTAAAGGATCTGTAACTAGGAAGTTCACAAATGGAATTAAACAGTTCTTTTTTGACGATATTAGTTACCTTGTAACCAAAAGTATGAAATATTTTTATTAAATAGTTCCTTTTTGTTTTGTCAGGACCATTTCTCGCAACTTAATCTGCCCCATAAAGATTTTTTTTTTTTTTTTTTCAGGACCAATAATAAATTTTTTATGGATAACAAAACATTTTTATCCAGTTCACTCTTAGCTGATATATTTCTTATTGGAGTTATTTTTTTTAAAAGTGCATTTGTAAATTGCACTTTTTGATCAGCTATACATAAGATATGATTCCTACAAGAATGAAGCTGACAGTAAAATAAGATTTCTCTAAATAATTGTTTTAAAAAATCTTGAATAAAAATTCATTACCAAATAAAATTACAAATTTATTTATTTGTTATAACTACATATAATTACATATGTATTTAAAAATTTAAGTAATGATTTTTTTTTAGAATAGGTTTGTTTACAGTCGAATACGATTTTCATCTGTACAAATTTTTTTTGAAATCAGCTGCTACCTTTACTGTCTGTCCTGATGACGTCATTTGCAACTTGAGTTATTCTCTCAAAAGATATGCTGAAACTGTAGCTAAAAAAAGCAGTATATGGACTGTCTCTTTAATTTCGTAAATAAATTTTATTGAAAAACGTTTAAACTATGAATAACATACAAACGCTCTGTTGACTTGATATTGTTTTTGTTTTCTAAATGTTGTGAATTAAAATACGCTTGTATTTTACTAAAAAGTTGCGCATTGCGTATTGATTAAATCTGTTTAACGGTTTTTTTTCAATACGGAACAATGTTTCGGACAATTACTTTATATTAAGATATATTTCAAACAATTACTTTATGTTAAGGGATTGTCTATAAAGGATGTCATTCAGAATTTAAATACAATCCTGAAGTAGAATATATATGTTTTAGAGTATTATAGCGCTATATGTTTAATAAAAATCTCGGCGATAGGGGTTTATTGGCTCATATCTATATATATTTAAATATCTTTTAACTTGTGTTTATCTCATATTTAATTGATATTTATTGTAAAATAAATTGAAATTAAGGAAGCAAGATGATAAAACCATTGTCTTCTGCTTGCTCCAGTCGGAAAAAAAAAAAAAAAATTATTATTGACGAAAAAGATTATATATCTATTTATAATTCAATCTTTTTTTATATTTATGGCATTGTAAAGATCATTAACAAGTTTGGGCACTTGTTTCTGCTGGGTTTGCAACAATTAGAGAATTTAATGAAACCTTATGTTTGGTTTAATGGTTTCTTACTATTAGACGTTCTGATAAACTCAATTGTAGTACAATTATAGTACCACAATTTAGTTGATCGTTTAAAACTTTTATTTGATCTACTTTTATGATAATATTTACCACTAACCGGAAAAATATGAAACTCCTAATTTTTTTCTTTGACCATAAATAAATTTATTTGCAGATTTGAGATTGGTGAGTTACTTTTTATATATTTTTAAAAATAACGTCCCCAAAGTCTGCACCAACTTTCAGTTCTATGCCAATTATTGTAAATTAAAATGTCTATTTTGAACGGGCTACGATTGGAAAATATCAACTTTGCAGTACAGAACTTTGTGAGAACTTATTGGCGGGAGCCAATAAACCCCTATCGCCGAGATTTTTATTAAACATATAGCGCTATAATACTCTAAAAATCTCTGCGCACGAGAGCCAACATTCTCCGACTTCTTGCCATTAGTTAAACTTAGCGTGACGTCTTTTATGGATGACCCCTAAGATATATTTCAAGTAATAACAAATACAGGTTCCTGCTTTAAAGTTTTTGAATCAGATTATTCGTTTCCATCTAGTATTTATTTCATTCACGGAATATTATTATTTTTTAACTAGCCTACTTTTTTATTTTATTTTTAAATTAGTCAAAATCATTGTAGAATTAAAAATTTAAACCATCAACAAGAAGAGTTTCTTGTTTTTGCGTTAGTTTATCATTTTCGTTGTCGCATGTTAATGTGGAGAAAAAAAAGTAAAAATACCATTCCGCCTAGTCATTTTAGCTGTTTTTTTAAGATAATATGGCACCAGCTTTTTCTCACTTTTTGTGCAACATATATATATAATAACTGTATTTTTCATTAAACAGTAAAGCAGATATTGCTCTGCGCATTTTATTTTAGCGTTTTAATTCTGAACGCATCTTTGTTACAGTTTGGCAAACAGCCGATTCTTGCATTAGTAAAACTTCTTTTACCACCTAGACGTCTTTTTTTTAATTGTTCTTTTCGTTTGCCAACTTATTTTTCACATGATCAATACACTCAAGTTTTGAAACAAGTACATTACTATATATTTTTCAACTGAAATTGCTTTACTATCTGTCACCACAAAGTCCTCTTCTAGATATTGAGAACTTGGATTGTCTCAAAGACATTTTTGGAATATAGTAGTTCTGCTTAGAATATTTTGTTTCGTATTTATGATCAATAAGTTGGAAGTAATTATGGGATATTTTTGGGACCAAATTATTTTTTAATTTAAGCATAAACTGAAGGGTGCTGTAGATGTTTTGTTCATAAATATTAAGAACTCTCAGTTCTTTCATTATTTGTTTTGTTTTTTATAGACTAAGGCTAGTTTTGATTGACAAGTACTTGCCCAGACAGCATTGCATTAGCTAATGTAAACAAATGCAAAGTATGAACTTTTTAAAGTATAATATTTTTAAGACATACTTAATTTAAAATATACTTAGTTTTATGCATAGTCTCAATGCTTTTATATATTTTATTTTCGAACAACTTGAGATGCTCTTTCCAGCTAATATGTTGATCTATAATGACTCCTAAAAACTTCACAAAAAAAACCCTTTTTTTAATTGTGTTTTGGCAACTAAAATATCTGGAAGTTTTAATGGTAACGTATCTGACTTTGATGGTTTTGTGAAAAGAATGTATTTGCTTTTTTCGATGTTCAAGGAAGTTTGTTGGCCTTCAACCAATCGATTAGCTCTTGAAGCTCCTGATTTACTGTGTTAAAAATAGTTTTAATAGTTAGATGGGTGTAGAAAGCTTTGGTGTCATCAGCAAAAAGAATAAAATTCAGTATACGAGAAGATAATAATATGTCGTTAATATAGACAAGAAAAGGCAAAGGACCTAGATTAGATCCCTGGGGAACGCCACAAGTAATGGTTTCAAGGAAAGTGTAAGTTTTTTTTTAATTTAAAGCTTGTTTCCAATTGTTTAAATAGCAACTAAACCATTTTAGATTTTTATTTTTTACACCATAATTACTAAGTTTGTATAGAAGGGTTTCATAGTTTCAAGTTTGTATTGAAGGGTTTCATTCTATACCATCTATAGAAGGTATCCTCTGTATCGAACGCCTTTGACAAATCGATAAATATTCCTAGTGTATATTGGTTTTTGTCAAACCCATTCTAAATTTCGTTAAATAACTTTATTACTACATTTTCAGTTGAATGGTCTTTTAAATTCGTATTGGTTATTAAAAAGGATATTGTTAGTTTGGAGGTACGAAAAAAGTCTACTTTACATAATGCGCTCTAGTACTTTGAGAAGCATGAAAGTACGGTGATAGGCCTATAGTTATCTCCGCTTTTATATATTGGAACTACGCGTGTTAACTTCAAGTGTTCAGGAAAACTCCACCTTTTAATGAGAGTAAAGTTTGCTGATGACAGTAATGCTTGCTGATGACACAAACATTTTTCTATGTAGCAATAATGTCATAATACTATTTAACAACATGAACATGGAGCTAATTAAAGTTTCAAAACGGTTCAAGTCAAATAAGTTATTAATTAACATAAAAAAACTATATGGACTCTATTTCATTCAAAATCCAAAAAATATCTTTTGATAAATAGTATGTCGAAAATATATATACAGATAATATTCAAATAAAACAATCAAAAGTTATACTTTTTCTTTGTGCTCTTATTGATGAAAATCTCTCACGGAAAAAACATATTGAAACCTTGCGCAACAAAGTTTCAAAAAATATTGGAGTTTTATACAAATCGAGAAGTTTTGTAAATAGATACGCATTAACTCAACTTTATTACTAACTTATCCAATGCTATCTAAATTGTTAAAATATCGCATGGGGTACCCGAAAAAAAACAGGCAAATCCTATTAAGTACTAAGTAAGCCGTATTTGTAATACTTATTAAGTTCCTGACGAGTACTTGCATGGATCTTAGTAGTAATAACAGGTTTTTTCCGGAACTTAGTAGTAAAAATAGGTTTTTATTGGAGCTTAGTAGAAATACTCAGGTTTTTATTCGGCCATTAGCCGAATAAAAACCTGAGTAAAATTCCACCTAAATCATTCCATTTGTCTTCATCTTTTATTCAACCATAACTGAAACTATAATGAAATTTACAAATAAATCGATAACTTTAAAAAATTTATCAATAAAAATGCTTACTATAATTCTATAAAGCTTCTCATTATCATTTTTCTATAAGTATAATAATCATAATTTTTCACTAAAAATTCTAAAAGTTAAAAATACGAATATTTTTATGTATGAAAATATGAACAAAATATCAACAAAATATGAATAGGTATAAAATTCGTGCTGATTTCTTACAACTGTTCATCGTATTTCCTTAAAAAAAAGTGTATGTATACCATAATTAGAAGTGTGCCTAGTATACCTGACTTCAGTAGCTGTATTTTTAATACAATAGTATCATCAGCGAACAATGTCACTTTTATTATTCCATTTGTCTTTTATTCGATCCGATTAATCTTTTATTCAACCATAACAGTATTTGATATATATGTATTTGATATAGTCCATAACTTTTATTTGATTTAATTAATCTTTTATTCGACCATAACTGTAACTATAATGAAATTTACACAAATAATAATATAGTTTGACGACCTTTATTTTACAAATAAAAAATTACTTTACAATAAAATAACTTATTCAACCATAATTTTAGAATGTTGAATAGCTTTTCATTATCATTTTTCAATTGCTATAAAAATCGTGATTTTTTAGAAAAAAATCAAAAAGTTGAAATATAAGTGTATAAAATTGTAAAAAAAAAAATCTATAAAATATGAACAACAAAAAGTTATTATAATTATTCATATTTTATAATTATTTTTTGCTGAATTGTAACAAGTGTTCATCGCATTTCCAAAAAAAAAAGAATATGCATATCATAATTAGAGATGTGTCGAATATACTTCTATAACTTCAAGTATGTAGTAAGGGGCAAATAGTAAATAGGGGCTAATAGAAAATTTCAATTAAAATATTTTATTTGCCTTTATGTTTTATTCAACCACAACTGTATCCATAATGAAATGTGTAAAAATATCAAAGTCCATAAGTTAATAAATATATTTTATTATAAAGTATACCATTATAAACATTTTGTCGTCAAAACATAATCTTGTCATTAAAACATAAATTACTTGACAATACTGTAGTGTTGCTGGATATAACTTCACATTAGTTACCTTTTGTAGTGTTGCTGGATATAACTTCACATTAGTTACCTTTTGTAGTGTTGCTGGATGTAACTTCACATTAGTGTTACTGGACATAACTTTACCTTTTTTAAAAAAAGCAAGATAAAATCTTGAACCTAAAGAGCATTCAACATACTTCTCAAGATGTTTATGCATTTGTGACAACTTTT